CGGTTGCCTGGCAAAGACGATCTCATGTGGTCAAGCCTCGTTGGGATTCTCCGTGCCATCCGACTTTCACGAAGGCGAAGTCTCCAACAGAGGACGCTGCATGGTGGCAGTCTGAAGCCATTGCGATTCCCGCCAAAGCCGGGGCTCCATCAGTTCCTTGTCATCTTCAGTTTTGCTTTGAGGTCACCGGTGTCGGATGACCTCCTACGATGCCTACCCGGTGAGCCTGCATGTCTTGGTGTGTCTCGTGAGCTTTGCTTGAGCCATCCATAGCGGTAGGATGTGCTTGACAAAGCCAAGCAAGATGCGAACCACTGGGCGGTCCGAGCCTTATGCCAGTGGAAAGAAAGTTATCACCCCAAATCTAGCGCTGCAGCCCCAACTACTTAACTCGAGGGCGGTCTCCCTGCCGTGCCTGTGGTAACTGAGCGCAGGTTCAGCGGGGCTTTTCGCCCACCTTGCGATGCGGAGGCTTCGGAGTCCTCCTAGCAGATTGCGAGCATGGGGTTGATTTGATGGTGTTCGCAGGACGCAGTCCTGGGACCGAGCCTTACAGCCAAATCGGGAGCGGCGGGTATTAATTCCCGGTTCATGTTAACGATGCGCAACGTCGCAGCTCTTTCTCCAAGGAGCATGTGCTTGACTGCGTGACTGCTTGCTTGACATGGAGGCACACCCTGCAGCACCATCGACAGAGCGGTAGGAACCTTGTAGTCGTCTGGCATGTCGAGCGCAGCAAATCGTGGTACCATCATGACGCGTGAACGTCGTCATGATCAGTAGCATCTTGGGGCAGCCTCGTCTTCTTCTGGCTCTAGTTTGGTATCACGGTTATAATGTTGCAAGGTAGCTCTGCCAAAGGCCCACCAAAGATAGAAAGAGAGAGAGAGAGAGAGAGAGAGAGAAAGGGAGCTGTTCTTCTGCAACCAACTCTGCAGGTCAGCCGGACGTCGCCAACGATGCACGTGTTCAACCTGGTGGGGGTTCCCGGAGCAGAGCAAGATCTTATGGGTAGGTCTCTACAGTCGGGTCCCTTTTTTGATCCCCCAGAATGGTACGGCACCCTCATAAGGAGGACCTTACAAGGAACCTTAATTTAGCGCACCACCCCTATGTTACAGTAGCTTGCACAAAGCGGCCAAGAGCACTCGTGGATGTTGCAAGCCTTCATACTTTCAATCGGGTTCCCTTTAAAATGGTCTTTTACAGGTTGCTATGAGGGATCTATAAAGGGTCCTACAGTATAGGGGCCTTAATACTTCAAATGGGCGGGGTTTTTGGGGTATATAATACTATGCTTGTGATAAAGAGCCCCCAGCAGAGTCATGGTAATCTTTTGAGCCAATATAGTATAGTGTCCGCACCTGGCAGTACAGGCAAAGTGATCGTATCTGCATGGCATTATGTTGTGGTGCCACAACCAGAGGAGTCATTGCGGTCGCAGTAGCTGTGGTAGTGGTAAAGTGATATGACTGTAGTTGTCGTACTATCGCGAAGTCCCGTTTGGCTCAGCATCTCATATCTTCAGACCAGCTATTGTGCACAGAAATCCGGCTGGTGGCAAGAAGTGACAACATTACCTGCAAAAGCCAGACCGATACTGTTGCAACAGCATGCAGGCAGCAATTCCACGGTTTTCCCAGCCAAGACCCCTTCTCCCCAAAGGCTTCAATCCTGAACCGGTCCGACCATTAGGTTGCAACGTGGTGCTTCGAGCCTGCTGCAAAGCCTCGCAGCCACTCGGATGAAACCTGGCTTTTGTGGATGTTCACGGTTGAAGTCCATACGGGCTTTCCGTGCTGTGGAAGCAAATGCCAAGCAGATTCGAGTAGATTCCAGGCGGTGCCAAACCTTAATGAGTCCGAATTGTTTCAAGATTCAGGCGAAGCATATAGTAAGACCCCAGTTGATAGTCATGCCCGATACTGCTAGTGTCGGGTGTGAGCATTCGGACTCAGGTTCTGATGAGAGTCACCAGCATGTAGGGAACACGAGCGGTCTTTCACGGCATGGGAATGCTGCAATGCTGAGTATTTAAGACTTTCGGTCAGAGCAGCTACAATGGCAGAAATTTTGCAATCCGAACAGGCGTTCCCATCTACGTAAAGTTACTCCGGTCACGGTAGTCGTTGCTGTCCCAGAAGTGGTCGTAACAACGAAACCTATCAAGCCGACTGATCACAACGAAATTACGCTCGGAGAGTATCAAGGTAAAGTTGACAAATCATCCCACGCATATATACATACATACATACATATATATATATATATATAGATATAGATATAGATAGATATAGAGAGTGCTAACATTTTCGGGCATAAGTTAGAATTTTCGGGCAAACGTGCTCAGGAAACTGCGAGCTTTTTTTTTCAGGGAGCTTCAACGACATTTTTCAGACCCTTTGTTGGCAAAGTTCAAACATAAGGAACCGCGTTTATTTAGAAGGCGCGTAGAAATGCATCGTGATTTTGCGGGGGGAGTTGGCAGCATGGATTGGCTTGGCTTCCGCGGGATTGGGGGTTGAGGGGGACAGGTGCAGGTGACCGTATGCATTTAGATGGCATCTAGAAATGCATGGAGACCCTGTGGGGCGAGCTTGGCAGCAAGGCTTGGCTTGGCTTCCGCGGGGGTGAGGGGTTGGGGGGGAGGGGGCTGGCCCCCTCCCCCCCATTCGAACTTCCCAATGTATGTAAGTGTGACAGTATGTAGTGTGTACGTCTGTACATTTGGTTGTTGTCCTAGTAGTAGAGTAGGTAACCTTTAACCTTTTTGGTGTAGTATAACCCCTATATAACCCCTATATAATCAAAAACGTTAGCCTTTAGTTCCCCATGATACCCGACAAGTAGGTTGTTTGTCTACTTCAATACATGCTGCCATATGCATTTAGAAGGCGCGTAGAAATGCATGGTGATTTTACGGGGGGAGTTGGCAGCATGGTTTGGCTTGGCTTGGCTTCTGCGGGGTGGGGAGTTGAGGCGGACAGATACAGGTGACCGCATGTATTTAGCTGGCATCTTGAAATGCATGGCCATGCTGTGGGGCGAGCTTGGCCAATGTTCCCGAGCATGCCAGCCTAGTGTCTCGATTTCTGTCCAGCCTCTTGGAAAAAAGCCGAGGATTTTTCCAGAATTTTCGGGCGTAGGTGCGTGAAATTCACCGCGCAGTTTCCGAACATAGATCCGGGAAATTCCCTGGACACTGTGTGTATATATATATATAATATTGTACAACATATAATACATAAGATAAATTTTACTTAGTATCAACATAAAACTGACAAGTTACGACCACGGCTTTCCGGGCACCTGCCGAGCTCCCCGAGAATCCCCGCTGCGCCCCGTGCAGCAGGTGGCCCCGATCATGCAGCTCCTCGACCAGGCCTTTGCTTACTGCAGCCAAAGAGCAGCAAGGGGGAAGGATGGCATGCATCCTGTTCCCGTGATTCTTCGGTCACCTTTCGGATGCTCGCTTTTCTGTTGGGTGCTGGGTTTCCGTGTAGCGTGGGCGCAGACGGCGTCCGCAACACCCGTAAGATCCCTTGGCTGCGCCTGGACTGCAGTGCTACTTCGACTCACCAGCAAAGTACAACCGTACCAATAACAAACATGCCCACCCCAAAGTCTAAACCTCTGGAAAGCAGGCCCGAGATCGGACAACTCCTTTTCCCAGTTTCATCCCGATGCCACAAGCCTCAGCACTGTGGCTGCCCTCGAGGTGCGCTGCAGGGTTTCGGCTTTCGGGAGTAGTTCCCTTTCTTCCGTGGACTTTGGAAATTCCGGAGTTCGGGGAGAAACAGTATATTATGTATACTATATATCACAGGCTGTATGTCATATAATACATACTGTATATGATGTATGACATGTTTTGTATCATGAATTGTCTAGTATGTGTTGCATGAGAGGGTTTTGGGGTGTCGGTGGAGTCTGCTTTCAGGAAGCTTCTTCATGGAAGTGTTCCGACCTTTGGCGGCCCTTTTCTAGAAACTTCGGTTTCAGGCGGCCTGTATCCGGGAAAGCTCGGGAATGTGTCGAAGACGTCTTCTGATGTTGCGGTTCAGGGATTGCAGGCTTTCAGTCTGTGGTGGCTTGAGACCAGTGGTTTCAGCTAGAGGTTTGGAGTTGGTCGTGTTTCCGGCTTTCGGGACTACGTTTTCTGGATCTGAACAAGCTTCAAGGGACTGCATGGGTGGTGCTTTCATCTACTTGGGCCTGAAGGCCGGACAAAAATTTTGAAAAGCCCTGTAAGCCCAAAGCCCCAAACGATGTGAGTCCCAAGCCCTAAGCCTGAAGCCTCTAAGCCGTGCAAGTGCCTCCGTTAGTCATGCCCCCTGCGTAAAGCTTATTACTCCACAACAACTTTCTGATACTTTACAAGATGGGCCACCAAGATTCTCCCGAATCGGGATTATGACAGTTTAGTGCCGTCGGAAAAGAACCGACCAAAAAGAACACAGGATCGATCTTACCTTAAACCTTCATAGAACTGCTCGGATCCGGGGCGTCCGACTGAGTCGCACCTTGGAGAGGAGAAAGACAAAAGCATGACCTCCCCTCAGGTGGATGGGCCAGCGACTATGCTTTGCCGTGCGAGAGGCGGTCTTGGATCAGTGCCGTGTGAGAGAAGGAGAGATGCCTTCCGAGGGTTGGAACATGGCTTTGGAGCCCGCGTGCATGTCGTTTCTTTCGAATTCTGAAGGCAGGACAGTCGACGGGGCTCAGTGAAGCCCTCAGAACGCCGGTGGCGAGGAGGACTGGGCTTTGGAGAATTTGGGAATTGGGGCGTGACTTCGGTTCAAGTCAGTCTGCACTTCTGTCGCCGCAGGTGCGAGCTTCGCACAGGCGGGCGAGTCAGACAGTCATCGATTGGACGCGAGCTTCAGAAACCTGGGTTTCGGGCTTCGACTTGGATGGAGTTCTTCGATTCCGAGGACTGCCAACCTTCAACTCAAGCTTTAGAGCTCACAGGGGGTCCGCTCTGACCTTGCAGGCCTGAGATGTTGGACCTCCAGCTCGAGGAGTTCCTGCGAAATGCCGCGCTCGGATCCCACGCTCTAGATATTCTCTTGAAGCGTTTCCATCAGCACTTCCTGTTGAAGTCAGCGTCGGAGGTCGAGTGCCAGGCACCGTTAGGCACCAGCTGGGCAGGTAGGTCCCGTTCCGCGAATCAGAAGCACTAGAAGCTGACGGCAGGCCTTGAGTCTCTCCGTAAAGGTCGATGAAGGTGGCGAATGCCGTAGACCAAAGTCCCATGCCCTAAGAGACACCGTGACCAGCTCGACTGCCCGAAATGGTTGTCAGATTCAACTGGGCCGACTAGCTCGTGAAACTTCGTGAGGTGCAGGAGCTTCCGGATGATTTGTTGGGGCGGGAGCCTCGGTGTTCCTGCGGATTTCCGCGACCTTCCAGGCGTCTCCACGATACCTTTGCCTGACGTAGGCCAAGATTTTCTTCAGGCCCTTCTCGCGAAGGGCAAAGGCTGATTCTTGTATCACATGGCCGTTGCAGTTGCCAGTTGCTTGAGCTCAAGATAGGCAAAGGCTGTAAACTTCACTTACCAGGCTTTCTTTGCTGCATTCCACGGTGTGTTGATCGGCGTCAGGACAAATCCAAACGACACCTAGCAGCTGCAGCACAAACCATGAAAACTTCTACAGTCTTGTCGAAGTGTGTGTTGAGCGGTGAGATAGAGTGTGCAACATTATGCCGCCTGTGCCAAAACATGGTTTTGCTCTTCGCCCATTCAGCCAACCACCCCGGGGGTATGCTGCGCCAAGCACCGCCAGCAGCTCGAGAACTTTTGAGTCTGGGTCTGTCCGGGCAAAGGCAGCCACCACCGCTCCGCAGCGAAACCGAGAAGACCGAGTGCCGAGCAAAGCTGAGTCTGGGTCTATTCTGCCAAAGGCAGGGCAGCGGCGTGCAGATCCAGACAGAGTCACCCCTCCGAAGCGAGCAGACCGAGCACCAAGCCGGACGCCACCCAATCCGGTAAACCCAGGAAGGCAACAACGTGCAGATAAAAGCAGCGAGTACTACTTCGACCTCGAGGTGGAGAAAATGCCGGCGCTGGAGGCGGTGGGTACTTTTGCGCAGTGCCCCGGCTGATTTAGCGGTTGGCTTTGCAGTTGGTTGTTGTTGAGTGTCTAAATTCGTTCATTTGATGGCCGTCTCCAGTGATTCAGGTGTTGGACTGGCGTGGCTGATCTGTCCAACGAGGTTTTCTATGAGCTGACGCGGACAAGCGCAGGCGTCCAGGCCACTCTGCGAATTCCGAATTGGGACATTGACAAGTCCTGGGTCGGAGAGGCCGAGTCGACGGCTTTGTAACACATCGTGTTCTTGTGCTAAAAAGGCAGGGTAACGTTTATCCCAAATCCTTGTGCACTCTGGTCGTCTGCCCGACCCGCAGGTGATGAAGAAAGAGAAGGGAGCAAAGCGGTCTGCAGCCCTCGTGTTCCAATCAGATCCGGATGTGCTGAAGCAGTCGCGCAGAATGCCCAAAGGGGTGAAGCGTTTGGGCGATATGGCCTTTTTTGACAACAAGATAAAGGAGCGCCATCTCGCTCGCGCGGCCCGCGATCAACATGCGGAGGCCTGACAGGCATGGCTCGATTTTCCAGATTCGCCACTCCGTCAACATCTTGAGAGTGGGTTATCTTGCAAGCAGTGGGTAAAGGTGCTTCAAAAATTGTCGAGACTAGTGGTGACTCCTTTTGCCCGTGCCGCTTGCGCTCCCCCCCGGAACCCAAAGGGTGCAGGGGGGCAGGTTCATGGTGAACTCTGTTTTGCTTGGAACAGTACGCTTGATCTGCGAATGGATGCTTTCTGCTTTTTTCGGGCCGAAACCCTAAACCCCAAACTCTAATGCCAAACAACACCCCAAAAGCCTAAAACAACAACCCTACCCGAAACCCTGAAGCCTGAAGCCGAAAGCCGAAACTCCGAACCCAAATCCCAAAAGCCAAAAAAGCTGAAGCCTAAAGCCGAAACCCAAGAAAGTTTTCCGCCGAATAAACCATAAAAGGAAGACCCAGCGAATTGTGATCTTGCGATATCATTCGGCTCAAGATATTTTTCCCTCGGCCCCAGTCGCCCTCACCATCACTGCCGGGCGCATAGCAGGCCGTGAGCGGAATCCACGTCATGGTGACGTGGAGGTCGCTTCGGGGAGGCCATTACAGTACGCACGGAGCGGAATCCATGTCATGGTGATATGGAGGTCGCATCGCGTGCTGTGTCTGTCTGTCTGTCTCTGTCTCTTCTGTCCCTCTCTCCATAAAGAAATAACTGCGCGCCCTGCAGCGGGTGTGTGTGTGTGTGTGGCTTCTGCTATGGGGGTCTCTGCAGTAAGGATCCTGCTGTTTAACTTTTTCTGGTTCTTGGTATGAAGGCTTGATGTCTTTACCGAGCTCCCGAAAACACCCTACGACCCTTAATCTTAAAATCTAAAAAGTGTAAAGCAGCCGCGATCATTCGCCCGGCGCGCAGCACCGGGCGATCTGCTCATGTGCGCCGTCTGTCTAGCTAAACTCGACAACACCAAAGCATCAGACCCCCCAAACTGCCGAGCTTCTGAGGTTTTCCTGGCATGGCGTGCACATGGCTCCACGGTTTAATTAGCTTATGATTTTCAGTGTTTTTCTGGAGGTTTGTGCTTCAAGGTTGGGATGTCGGGTTTTGAAGATCTTAGGGTTTGGCGTTTAGGGATGCGTTGCGGTCTAGGTCTAGGGTGTTAGGAACTTTCAGGATCTATGGCACTATGGGCACGATGAGAATGTATACGGGTGTCGAGAACCGCAAGGGCCTCCGGGTTGCAATAGGAGTTCACCTCTACACGTATCACCTACTCCACAGAATCCTTAGAAGGTTCTTCGTTCCCAAGGATGTTGAAGGTAACGCCCCGCAAAGGCACCTGGCCCTTCTGCTTAAAGGCTCATCGGTGGGTCGTAGGATGTGTGACTATGGTGCAAGCCCAAACCCGAAACCTACGTCCCTTCGATTCAGAAGCTTTCTGACGGCTTGCCGTTAGGCTGCAAGCAAGCGGAACGCCTTTTCTTGGCCCGGCTCCCGGAGGGTTGGCTTGGGGATCTTTACGTTTTGCAATGCTTGTAGTGTTTGGTTGGGCCAATCTTAAAGCATGTTGGGCTCCCATCTCACTGTCGGGTTTCCTCGCCGACGCTGGCCTTAAGCTGTTTGTTGCTGTGTCCAAGTAGCGTTTAAGATTTTTTGGGCACTAACATTTCTAACGAACCCCGCAGGTTAAAAAGGAGAAGTCAACCCCTAAACCCTAGACAGCCCTTAACCCTAATCCCAAACCCCCAAACCCTAAACCTTCCTAAACAACGGGTAACGGGTGTCCTGCTCCGAATCCTTAAAAACCTTTGTGTTATTCATAGCTTTCTGCCATCGGCACAAGCTTCGCGATTTGTGGTTTCAAGTTCGAGTTGTGGGCCACATGCGGTTTGAGATATTCGTGGATAAGGAAAGAAGGCTTGGAGCCTTGTCATCCTCGGCAAGCCACAGGACCTTCAGCCCAAGTACGCTCCTGTAGGATGACATGTACATATAGCCCGAACCCCGTGATGAACTTAAGTCCTCCACGTTCAGGGCCCATCGTACGATATCCCATGTCGAAGCTTGTCCACCCAGAGCCCTTGCCTCTTCTGGAATCGAATCCGCGAAGCTCTTTTACAGGGATTTCGATAACTGAGCCCGACGCCCGAACATGACAGGGGCTTTCTAGGGCTTGGTGCAAGCGAGCACATGCACCTTCAGGTTCCACGCCAGAAACACCATAAAGACAAAATTCGCTGCTCAGGAAATCCAAAACTCATCAAGATTTTAAGCGCCCTCAAGCCGCAGACCCCTGAACATAGAATGCGATAGTGCACTTTTCAGGTTCCCTGGTGTATGGAGGTCTAGGGTGTTAGGGATGACACCCTCGAACCCACAACCCTAAAGCGTCGTGGCACAGGAGCTGCTTGCACTTATAATATCCTGTGGCTTGCAAGCCCTGAGCCCTATAAAACCAGAAATCCGCAACCATAAACCCTACGTTGGATCCCTACAGCGAGCGAACAGGATGGCGGGTCAAGTCCTGACCCTTTCCGGACCCTAAACCCTTAACCCTTCACGCTAAAGGTCTGAACCCTAATTGCTTAAACTCACCCTCAGGTGGCTTGCCACTCTGGGAGAAGATACGCCGATTGCCAAGTCGGGCCGCGGGTTTTTCGGCGTGACATTTGTAGCGGTCCTGTCGACTGTCCAGTCGCTGTCTCGTCGAGTCGGGCACACAGAGACGTTCTACAGTCCAGACCGTGCATGTATAAGTAGTATGTTGTGATGACAAGGTCAAGAGGAACCAGTCCTCGACGAGGCCCGATGCAGGGGTGATCATGCACTGAGGGTAGGTTTGGGCGGGTCAGACGATCCTGAGGTTCCCTGGCTCTCCCAGTCTCTGACAGGTAGCCGACTACCCGTCATCTGCATAAAAATAAAACTTGTGACAGTGATAATGCTAGTACTGTCATGAGGGTGTGCCGGCGCCGCTTCTTTCTTCCATGATTGAATTGTGTCACAACCCCAAGGCCTTTTGTGGCCTTCTGTGTTTCCGGGGCAGGGGTTGAGGGTTATTTCTGTCTTCAAGGTCCCGAAAACAGTCCCAACACGATCTTGATGTTTTCAAACTTGTCATGCACTACGAAGCCCAGGGGCCAAAGAAGCCTTCCCAAGCTTTCGGATCACTGGTGGTTTGTCCAGCTTTGCAGTGCGAAGCTGGAAGCAACAATGCCCGTTTTTAGCCCGCAAGAGGTTCGCACATAGTCGCTCGTTGAGATTCTCATGGGGCGGTTTTGCGCCAAACTCTACAGAGACGTTGCTCCTAATCTCCGAAAATGCCAGAGATGTTTGAGTGTCACCGGGTTTGTGTCCTGGGGCTGTAGAGGGAGATAGGCTCTTAGGAGGGGTGTTGGGGGGGGGGGGGCCGTTGCTGTACGTCGCAAAATACTCGAGGACAGTTGTAGTACAGGAGCAGTACAGTACAGTGGTAGGACGGTATTACAGCGAGCAATGCCCTCAATACATAAGCAATGCAATATTACAGTAGTGTACAGTAGTAGCACCGTCGGAGGGTTTCGGTGTAACTAGAGCTGTCCTACGTATAGCACAGTTCGTAGAGGCTCACTCTTTGTACCAGGGCCGGGCCGGCGCTGGTCGTCTCGGCTGCCGGTTCAGTTGACCTATTGATTCATTGCCCTGCCCAGCCCTGGCATGAACTGGCATCCTCGGCCAACGGCAGAATTCGCATGCAGCGGCAGTCTTTGGTTGCTGTCGTGTTCTTCTGAAGTGATGTGAGACGGCCTTGCAGGGCTGCCTCGGCGAATCTTGGGACAGCTGGGGCAAGGGAGGAGGTGGACGTGGAGGAGGCTGGGCTTTGCAGCAACGCTTGGAGTTGCTAGTGCTGGCAACGTTCTGAGAAAGGCTATCCGATGCTGCTGGGGGTCTGGCACTTGGCTGTAACTCTGGGAAATCAAGGACGACGTCGACAAATTTGCTGATGATGACTTTGACCACAATGACTGATGACTGTGATGCTGACGAAGATGTTATCACCACCACTACCACCACTACCACCATTACCACCACTACCACCACTGCCACTACTGCCACCACTACCACCACTATCACCACACCGCCACTAGCACCACTGCCACCACTGCCACCACTGCCACCACTACCACCACTACCAGCATCAGTAGCGGCAGCACAAGCAACTAGCACGTAGTCAGTAGCCAAGTGTCGCCCAATGTTGTTTCGGTCAGCCACCAAATAGCTCTTTTCCTCGAACCCTCCGTAGACAGGACAAGAACCTTGCAACAATCTACAGCGAAACCAGCACACCCGGAAACATCAGCCCCCAGAAGACACACTACCAAGAACTATTCTCACACAACAGATAAACAGCTTCTGAGTCACCCTATGCACTAGGCACCAGCCAGCAGCTCTGAGACAGTCCTGTCAGGTTTAGGGTAAGCGTTTAGGGTTTAGGAGTTTAGGATTCGAGGTTTGAGGTTCGAAATTGAGTCACGGGTTTGGGGGTTCAGGTAGGTTTATTTGGGACTTCAATCAATCTCGAGGGTTTGAACACCGTTGGGCTTGGGTCGGGCTTGGGCAATGACAAGATTGAAGGAGTTACGTGGGGCTCGGAGCGTAGATTGTTTTGGGCCAGAAGATGTGCACTTCGTCTTGAGGCCCGCTGCGCCTTCAACCCAAAGGCTCCTGGTCCGAAACTTCGGGTTTAGGGACCTTAGGGTCCTAGGGCCTTGGGCCTAGGGTTTAGGGTTTAGGGGTTAGGGTAGCGTTTAGGTTGGGCCTTAGGGTTCAGGCAGAAACTCAGGGCCTTACCAAAGCCACCAAAAGTATGTAGAATCATGGCCCAAAGCCTATCATGGGCCATTATTCTGCATAGTTTTGGGTCCAGGTCGGGTGTAGGGGTTTTTGGTTTAGGAGACGGCTTGGGGCTTATCGCCTGCCTTGCACAAGAAAGGGGGGCCTCATACAATAGAATAGACTGAAATTTTAGGGTTTTTGGTGTTTTCTAGGCTAAAGTAGACCTCCCTTAAGTAATCCCTAAATCTCTTCAAACCCTCACAAAGTCACCAAGCAGATCCCCAAATGTAAGGTCTAGGGTTCAGCGGTTTTGTATCGGCTAACGGCCAACAGAAGTAGACCCCGAATTAAGGAAGCCCTTCCCCGTAATGAAGGTTATAGTAGGGATCCTCATATTAGAGCCTTTGAAGAAGGAGGGGCTTACAAAGCAGGGGTCTACATTAATCGATTCGTCACCAGCTACTTGTTCCATTCCACGCACTGCTGCCACTAAACGTATTGCTATCCTACTCCGCCACCTCCTCCTCTTACTGCGACTGCTACTGCTGCTCCTACCGCTGCTGCTTCTGCCGCTGCGTCTGCTGCTGCCCTCGGCATCGACGTCAGTCCTTAGATTGTTTCATTGATTCCTGTGCTGTTGCACACAGCAAGGCATTTTGCGGCTTCCGACAAGGGCAGAGTCCCACGAGATGTGATAACCCTCCGCCCACTTGTGCGATGTAAGATGGTTACTATAAGGGGCTTAAATATTTCCCCATACTATTCAATATACAGGGCCCCCAAACCCTATTCTAATTATTAACGCCCCTGTATCAGACTCCATCATGCCCCAGCCCACCCAGAAGTACAGAACGCAGTTGAGCTGTCTGATAGCTACCAGACGGCAGCACATGGCGAATGCAGAACTGTCCTTCATGTCCAGTGTTGACGACTTCTTGAACCTCCCGCAGGCCAGCTATGCGTATCCAAAGACCACGTCGCATGACTGCTTTGGGAGAATATGGCAGGTGCAGCGCTGAGGGTCCTAGTTTTTGGTGGGCTCTCGCTTTGGAAATAACTGCGAACCCAAACTCTAAACCCTAGGCCTCAAATGTAATGTAAAGCTCTGCAACACAACAAAGGTCTGATTTTCACGCTTTGCTTGTCCTGAACGCTGCAGCTGCTGGCCAGCCTGAAACCTAAATCGTAAGCTGGCATCCCCGCGAGGGGTTGAAGCAAAATCGCCCCCGAAAGCAGAAGCTAAACTTCCAGACCATCGGTTTGGGGATAAGGGCAAAACTTCAAAGAGGGATTCCAGAAACCCGCCTCTTGGTGGGATCCTTCTGCTTACGTGGTTTCTTTGGCACGTTTTTTCGGTTCTCTGTGTCCTAAACCTAGAATCTTAGAGGTTCCGGGTCTGTAGGATTAAAGCTCGGAGCTGCGCGGTTTAGGTTTAGGGCCGTCAGGTGCGAGGTTACAGTGGGAAACCCTGGTCCAGCAAGTTTAACGCCGCGTGTGCTCAACATCTGTCGCGAAGGAACCTCGTAAAATCCGTAAAATGCGAAGGACATGAAGAACAATGGAAAGCACTCATGGCACCAACCCCCCGACCCCGACGATCCTTTATCAATCCGACGTCGCAACCCGACGACTGACATGTAGGGGCTTGGGCTAGATCTCGTGAAAACAAGGTAATGTTACATTTTGCAGGAACCTTATCAAGAACCCTTGGTTCTCATTCCCCAGAACAGCAGCATTCACAGGATTAAAGCTGCCATTTTCTTGGGCGGGGGTGGTGCGGGTGTTCCTGCGTTTGGTGTAGACTTATTGGCACCTTCTTGGAGTGCCTTATATTCAGGATTCTTAAGTGGGGCCACCAGGTTGGCATCGCAAAGTCTCCCTATGAGCCAGGGTTCCCAGCAACAATTGTAGTGCCTTCGAGGGAGCCAAGGGTGCGAGCGAGAGATGGAGAGTTTGCAGGATATTCGAGGCTCTTTGGGGCAAAACTGCTCCAGGGGTTGCGATCTTATTGTGTGAGGCTGCTGCTCCTCGACTCTCCACGCCACGAGCCCCAGAAATACAAGGGATCCAGGTATGTAACTTTGGCTGTAAAGCTGCATTCCGGCAAATCCTCAGAGCACTTGCCACCTAGCCCACACCTTAACAATACTCCTTTAAGGTTTTCGTTGCCGCACCGGAGGCTCCCAAGATAACCCCTTGAGACCAACGTACGCACCAGACTGCTTCGAGATTATTTCTAAACCACTCTAGACATTCAGATCAGGCCGAGAGAATGCTCACATACATAGGCTACGTGTCATTGAGATTTGTGCGACTCGTTCAATGAACAGAAATATCTTCTCGCGCATGTACATGCATGCTGCTCTGTGCTGAGCTGCCGAGTGGAGCATACAAGTGGATCGAGGATTATGTTGCTGCTTTGCATGCTGGACGGTTCCGGTGGCGCTGGGAAGGACCATGTTGTTGCCAGCGGCTTCCAACGGCTTGCAGCCGTTTAGGAGTTTGGTGACTTCAGGGTTTTCGGATGTCGGATCTGAGAGGTTTTCGGACACATAGAAAAATGCCTGGAGGGAGCTATCCAAAATCCCAAATCTCGACCTCGCGAGTCATAGTTGCATGGTCACTGAAACCCTATTCCGAAACTTCTTGAATAGGCACCCCCCACCCGAAACCCTGGACGTGCATGGGCCTAGGATCCCCCAAAAGCTAACCCGCCAGAACCCGAAGGCTGGGGCTCTCGTCGTAAATCCGCAGTCTAAACCCTCATCAAACTTGTCGGTGCGAATAAAACCCTTATATAAGCTTTTTAAGGCTCACAAGGTTACTGACCACTGCGAAAAAGTACAAGCGGGAAGCTCCAAACCTTCAAAGCGCAAGCCGAACGTTAAGACCCACAGGTCCAAAGTCTTGTTGCGCACCTTAAGATGAGTCGGTACAATATGCAGTTAATGAAATCACCTTGTAGCCCATCATACGATTCCACGAACACACTTGCTTTTTGTTGGCTGGGCTTCAGGGCTAAGCGATTTCCGTGACGTCCTTGGGTGATGCTGACGTCATGTTTCGCGACTTTCTATCTGTGCCTCAAGAAGACGGACGTCTTACCCCGAGCAATGCCACCGAAATCCAGAATCCTCTACTCGTGTCGGTCGTCTCGTGTCTCACGGCGTATCCAGGCGCTTTAGAGACTTACCTAATATTCTTGCATCGCTATGCTAAGACTTTACTTCACGGCCGGCCGAAATCTCAGGCCTGAAACTACCGTTACTCTGTCTTTTACTTCTTGGTGTCAAGAAACCTTACGAATCGGTATTTGGGTCCTGTTAGACCACCCCACCAGTCGGAGGGCCTACTCTCTGCAGCACTGCTCCCTCAAGCCTTAAACCCCAAAGCGACTAAAGCATGAACTTTTGAATCATAAGCCTTAAACTCCTTAACCCGATACGCAGCACAGTGCTTCAAGCCTTGAGCTCTTATGGCTACTACTACTACTACTACTACCTACTACCTACTACCTACTACCTACTACCTACTACCTACTACCTACTACCTACTACCTACTACCTACTACGTACTACCTACTACCTACTACCTACTACCTACTACCTACTACCTACTACCTACTACCTACTACCTACTACCTACTACCTACTACTACTACTACTACTACTACTCCTACTACTACTACTACTGCTACTACTACTACTACTACTGTACTACTACTACTACTACTAGTACTACTACTACTACTACTACTCCTGCTCCTGCTACTGCTGCTACTACTACTACTACTACTACTACTACTAGTACTACTACGATCACCGGTACTGTTACCATGACTATGGCTATTTCGAGTATTCTGAATATTACTAATACTACTATATCATTATTACCAGTAGTGGTTTACTACTATTACGACTGCTACTACTACTACTACTACTACTACTGCTACTACTACTACTACTACTACTACCACTACTACTACTACTACTACTACTAGGTACTACCACTAGTACTGCTGCTAGTATTGAGATGATCACTGCTAGTCTTACTATGACTATGACTTTTATTATTTATTATTATTGAAATTACTAATACTACTTTATCATTATTACTACTACTGGTCTGCTGTTGCTAATAGTAGTAGTACTGCTAGTACTATCAGTTTCCGCAAGAGTATTACTATCCGTGCTACTATTACTCTTACTCGCAGTAGTACTAGTAGTATCATTACAATTGCTGCTAATGCTGCTCTTGCAAGTGTTAGTACCATAGCTGCTACTAGTATCAGTACTACTTATATTTTTGTGTTCATTTCTTTTTTTATTGCTATTACCAGGTGCTAGAAAGATTATTGGCATACTTTTAAGTTCATTATGTTTACTTGTGTAGTTATCACTGTTACTATCATGTGCATGAGCTTATGTTTATGCTTTCTGCTCTTACGGTTGATTTTCATTGCTGCTTTTATGATTTGATACTTCTGCTACCGCTGCTACTACTACTACTACTACTACTACTACTACTACTACTACACCTGCTACTACTACTACTAGTACTACTACTACTATTACTACTACTACTTCTACTACGACGACTACTACTACTATTACTGGTAGTAGTAGTCGTAGTAGTACTAGTAGTAGTAGTAGTAGTAGTAGTAGTAGCAGTAGCAGTAGCAGTAGCAGTAGCAGAAGCAGTAGCAGCAGAAATAGTCATAGTAATCGTAATAGTAATAGCAATAGCAACAGCAATAGCCATAACCAGACTGCTATAGCAATAACAATTGCAATAGTAATAGTACTCGTAATGGTAATAGTAATAATGTAGTAGTACTAATACTAATACTAATGCTAATACCAGTACTAGTACTAACACAAAAATACTAACACTAACACTAACACTAACACTAATATTAACGCTACTACTACTACTACTACTACTACTACTACTACTACTAATATTAATACTAATACCATTCCCAACACCAATACCAATGCCAATACCAATACTAATACTAATACTAATGGTAGTGTTGCGATTAGTATCCTATTCCTAGTAGTAGGGGAACACAAAAGGGAACAAATGGAAACACTACCGAACCAAATGGAAAACAACTCCCGATTTAATTTGGCGACCTCGCTCTCTCGCTCTCTACGAGTATTAAATCGACTGTCGGGACTTTCAGCGACTATTTAAACGCGGTTTGCCTGGTTGCTGCTTTCTTGTGTAAGCAGCGCACTTATGTCAACCACGCCGGAAGTTTCCATCCCACGGGGGGGTGGGGGGCACGGGTCGCAGAAAGTCAGTGTTGCAGTGGCAGTGGTAGGAGTAGCAGTAAGAGGAGCTGTCGCAGTCGCCCCCGCCCTCCCCAGGCAAAACGGCGCACGGGGCCAAAGACAAGTCGACGGGTCCGTGATGCCAGAGCGGGACGTGTCCAGGATCGCTTTGATGTACGGTAGGATGCTGTGAGATATGATATTCTTGATAGCATATGTTCCAAGATGCGAAAACATCCCATAAAATACCATAAATTAAGCTACCAGAGTATAGCAAAGGTCCTGGGAGCCCAAGGCGACTACCGGAACCGAACGGCCCTAGAAAACCCTAAACCTTAGCTCCTCGGAGTGCAGGCTGGCGGCTGACCAGAGTAACATAGGGGCTTTAATTGTTAGAAAGGGGTATATTATACTAAGATTTTAATAAGGAACTCCCAAAATCCTATTCTAATTATGAAGGCCCCTATAGTAGCGGCGGGGACTTTACGGGTTCTAGGGTTTGGGGTTAGGGTTTTCTGGGGTTTGCGTTCAGAGCTCTGGACCTTAAGAAATCTTAAAATGTCCGAAGGAGATGATGTCAACATACTAGTAGCATTTTCGAAAGTCTTAGCACAAGTCGTCGTGGTCCGTCACCAGTGAACCCATGTAAAACCAAGGATTTGTTAGTTGCCTTCAAGTCCTAATGGCTGGAAGCAGCAGCTTTGGAATGCCGGATGGCCATGGCTTTGGGGTGATAAGTACGTTGCTTCGCTCCGGGGTCTGAGCTCCTGCCGTCTGAGACAATGCAGACGTCATTTTGAGTAGGCTAGGCGGTCACTCCACGTGTACTG